TAACAGTTTTATTGTGATGTAATATAACATACATAGATTAACAGTTTTATTGTGATGTAATATAACATACACAGATGGGTGCACATAGTGGAAAAATCCTCATAGATATTGGTGAAGCTGAGCACAAATTTTCTTATTACAATAACAAACAGAATGACAAAACAAAGGTGGTAAATGGCCAACTAGATAATCATATTGCATCTACACTATGATCCAAGGCATTGGGTTGACTACACATTTTGTTATTTATTCCTCACTATTTTTAGGAAAATTAACATTTAATTCTCACAACAGGCATCTGCTAGTGATATTGCATTATACACTCATACAAGTATTAAACTTTCTTTAGTTAGTTAAAAACCATCAGTTAGTGCTTATTATAAAGGGATACAGCTCATGGGTTATTTGACAGCCGTTAAGTAACTTACATGATGTGGAAGTTGATTATATATTCCGTTAGCTGGTGGATGAACTAAGGTGCCTACATCGTTTCTACTGTCAACTTTCTCCATATGTGTACAAGTGCCTAAACCATTTATAAGATTAGATGAGAGCACAACTGCACTGTTGTTGTCAAAATCCTCTGTCATTAGAAGAGCTCTTGGATTTTTGGCATCACTTACTTTACAGTTTTCATCTAGCAATCCTTCTATGGTACCATCATCGGATTCTATGAGAAGAGTCGCTGGGTTCGTGCTGCTGCCTGAATCAAAAGACATGTCATTTGTTAAGAGGATCACTTGTTCTGGTGTAGAAGCAACATCGGGATCAGCTGAGCCATTTACAACTACTACAGAGCTATGCTCTTCATCAGATTCAATATCCATAGGAACTGTCAGGACAGTTCCAGTATCATCCTCCTGAGTATTAGATGTATCCACAGTTTGAGAAACACCTTCTGAAACAAGTCTAACAACAGTTTCTACAGGGGTAGGTGTCACCACTGAGCTAGAAGTTTCTGTTGTTAAAGTAGTACATAAAGGCAGATTGTTAGCAGAGTAAGTTGGAGAAGGAGACAAACTAACAGTAAAAGTCTGAGTAGCTAAAGGCAAGCAAGCAGTAAGAATTGATGAACTTTGGGAAGGAGGGGATGGAGTTTCATTCAATACATAATGCACAGAAGGTCGTAGAAGAGGAGTTCCAACTATCAGAGTACTGGCTAAAGAGGTATTAACCAGAGAGGTAAGAGCAACACTGTTCATCCCAAAAGCTGAAGACATGATGGATGTCATGGTTGCTGGGCAGGAAAGTGACCTGGTCTTCACTGGAGCCAGTCCTGGTCGAGCTTTAATCTGCCCGTTACCGCTACTGAAAAAGTGTGACCTGTTACGGCTGGACTCTAGAACTGCCTGACAGATTTGATAGGATCTTTCCAGATTGACAGGACCGTGCTCGACAATGGATCTAGTTGTAGCGACATTATTAACAGGTTGCACAACAGGGATGGAATGTATTGTTAAAGGAGGTACTAACGACATGATACTGTCCTAGAAAGAAAAAGACAGAAATAAAATTTGGAATTAACACACCAAACTTTTCATGAATACTACTTTAAAACTCAGCATAACATTTCATCTGTACAGATTTTTCTGTAGATTATTTTAAACCTTGAAAACTAAATTCTCATTTCACAGAATAATGAATTACTTTATTCACACTAAACATTAATTTCATTCAATAATACCTGTGCAAAAAATCAGTTGTGCTTTTATCATTTTTCTATGAAAGGATTTTTTGTGTGGATTAGATCTTGCCTAAGGTTTTGATGAAATGTTGTCCTAGCATGTGAAAGTAAGACCATTTTTAACATATAAACTCTGATTACTTTTGATATTATTCAGAAATGGAATGCAGAATCATTTCTGATCTTACAGTAGTTTTCTATCTACCTTTTCACAACAAATAAATAATTATGAAGTAAGATCAAGTACGATAATTCCAGTTAACATTTTTGCCATAACAACAAAGAATGCTGGTTAGAAATACTACTAATAAAGAGGATAGTCATTTTTTAGCTTTTTTTTTACTTTTACAATAAATACATTTATAATAATACATTAAAGTTCCAAATAGGTAAACCCTGTGCTCCATGACAAAAACCTGGATACATTTTAATTAACCCTCTCTATACACGACAAAAACCTAGATACATTTTAATTAACCCTCTCTGTACACGACAAAAACCTGGATACATTTTAATTAACCCTCTCTATACACGACAAAAACCTGGATACATTTTAATTAGCCCTCTCTGTACACGACAAAAACCTGGATACATTTTAATTAACCCTCTCTGTACACGACAAAAACCTGGATACATTTTAATTAACCCTCTCTATACACGACAAAAACCTAGATACATATTAATTAACCCTCTCTGTACAGGCTTTATTATTTCAATCAACCTTGAAACACCATGTAACCATGAAACTAGACATAATACAAATATTTTTCATCTTACAGTTTTCAAATTTCATTTGCATAACTCGCAGAACCTGATAAATAAATATCAAGTTTTTTTATTCAGAAAAACTTCATATCTTCTCCATTATTTTCTCTTCCCTAACACTATACAGACTTCATTTGCAGAACCTGATAAATAAATATCAAGTTTTTTTATTCAGAAAAACTTCATATCTTCTCCATTATTTTCTCTTCCCTAACACTATACAGACTTCATTTGCAGAACCTGATAAATAAATATCAAGTTTTTTTATTCAGAAAAACTTCATATCTTTTCCATTATTTTTTCTTCCCTAACACTATACAGACTCCGTCTACTTAACTGACACTGTAACCACCACAAAAAAATGGAAAATAAATCTCAATTACCCTTTTTTTTTCTAGAATGACAGCAGATTGTAGCAGAAAATTACAACTATTTATCATAAACAGTCTAACTTAGCTTATAACATTTTACATTTGCTTTCATTTAATTTCATTGTTTTATTGCTCTTTGGAACATGTCTAACTACTAAACCAACATAACAAGCTAGAAATCACCCAATGAAAACATGGATTAAGTTAAAGTAGAACGTTAAATAATGTACAAGCTTCTCACTTGCATATCTTTCAGAGAAGTTAATTTAGTATTTTTTTGAAAACTAAAAAATTGTATTTAAAAACAACGATTATTTTATACACAATTCAATAAAATGAGATTGTTTTCAGTCTCCAAATTATTAAAATAATAACTTACTGTACAAAGTTAAAAAGTGGTAAAATCCCCGACGTGATTGGAAAACAATCTCATACACTCTACATGTTTCGACGTATATGTTTTGCAAAAATAACACCTATTTATACAGTTATCAAAACACAAATTTACATATTAATGAATTTCACGCCATCTGCTGACAACATTTCCATCAGGTCCATCATCCTTATTCAATAATTTAAATTTTATTGAATTGTGTATAAAATAATAATTGTTTATAAATAAAATTTTTTAGTTTTCAAAATTGAACATTACACATTTGCCAAAAAAACTTCTTGAGATAAAAAAATTGTATTTTTTTATTTAATTTTTTTTCATTTGTTTTAGTACCTAACCTAATGAATTTGTGATTTTTACATTTCAGTGTCTTTTATACCAATAAAATAAAAAATGTGTAGGTCTTGTAACTTTTTGCAGTCGAAGACTCAAAGTGTCAATAAAAGTTAACCCTAATTCTTGCTACATTTACTGAACTTTTATTTATCTAAAATTTTAAACATAATAACAACACACAAACCTTACAATGTCCTTTAACTATTACAATTTAACTGGCTTTCTAACTAAGCTATGAGTGCATTAAACTAATCCCCTTAGCTGGTCGAGCTGAACTCAGTGATACCAACTTTGAATTTGTAGGCTGTGTAATTAAAAAGCAGTCATCATAACAAGCCTATTACATAAATAAGTAAATTATGTGATAGGAGGGTGTGGCATGTAGGTTTGACTTTCTGGTTTATATTTCTGTATAACAAGATGATTGGGGGCTATAACATCAGATTATGTCTTATTAGTATCTATAAGTTTGTAATTTGCATCAAATCTCAGAACCTCAATCGGTGTGGGAAGATTATCTAAAATGTACAATTCTGAATGAAAACCATCACAATATAGAAAAATAAAGATTGGAAATTTATTTACGCATTTCCTTTCAAAAAATAAGAAATTATAACTTTTATTATATTAAAAGTTGATTTATTAACTAGGTTCTGATGCCAAGTTCACTAACATGCATTGATAATAAAGTATTTTCATGAAATTTTAAATATAATTCTGTAAAAAGTCATGACCTATCTGTATCCAAGGGTTAGAGGAATTTCACAGGATATTCACCGCACAATATAGCATCTAGCTAATTCTCTAATAAGGTATGATCCTTGACCTATTTCTGACATAGCAGCGAATGAGGTAGTAGACTCTAACTAACACTAGCTTACACACACAACCCAAGTCCAGTTATTTATAATTAAGCAAATAACACTTACCGCTGCAGTGGTTCCCAAACTGAACTTGGGGCTGTGGGAGATAGTCATTATAGGGACTTGTTGAGGAAGCACCTAGATTGCACAAAACCTTTATACATTCAATGGAAGATACAAGGTCAAAGGTTACATTAAGAAAAAGCACTTATGATAGCTTGAAAACTTAAACATACTAGGTGTGCTAAATATACAGAGTTACTGTAAACCTGTAACCATTTAATCTACTTATTGTAATAATGAAAGCAACAACATATACCAAAGAAAGCAATATATTTACATTTTTAATAAAATTATGGATAATACAGGGTGTCCATACACCATTGAACCAATTAATTAATTCAACAGGAACAGAATTACACTACATAAATGACCGAAGTCTGTGGTATACTGGAGGCTAACATTTCAGGTTCGTCCATAGGCAATGTCACTGTCAGTTCACTTCAACGTGGGCACCATTAGTGACTTGCAATAACTGATCTAAATCCACATACGCACCAGTATCTCCTGAGTAATCAGCACAACTGTGTTTGTTATTTGGACATGAAATGTTGCCATATCTGGTATATTCATCTTCTAGATAACGTTCCTCATCTAAACTAGTGGGAAAAAACTTAAGACGGTCAGTCTCCCACATGCTGCAAACTGTAACTGTTTATTTGGTGTGGTTGCTATTCTGTTCAAATACCAAAATGGTTCAATACGTTATGGACACCCCATATTTTGCTGTATTCTTCAAAGAAATCAATCTTTGTGAAAAAAATTATTTATGTATTTCCTATATTATTTGTTTTACATTCGACACAATATTACATATGAATGTTTCTTTGCTCCTAACTTAATGTAGCAGGATAATCCCTCAATTAAAGTGATGGAATTATCCTTTTAATTGAAGTAAATGTATTATTCCCAATTAAATGAATGAATTACACCATATTTTAAATGGCTTAATTACCCTTACCTAAAACGTGCGTTATCTTCCAATTCATGTGACAGAAAATGTGCAATTTAAATGAAGACTGCATGTCGTTCAGTGTTGGTGAAATTTGTTCGATGTTGAGGGTTTCTTTAATCTGTAATTCGAGATCAATGTTGGCTTTGCAATGGATATTGAAATTTGATAGGTTAAGTTTATGTCCTGTTTCTTCACTACGTTGGTGTATAGAGGAAACACAAGGGTTACACAACTTTTTTGTTTTTTCATGGAAAGTTAACATTTTCCTAAACTAAAAATGTATTTCCAATAATTGGAAATTGTGATATGTTCAGAGATGAAAGTGTCCCTTTCCTAAAAATAATCGAAGCCAAGTAAGGGGGGTCCGTCACCCA